TAAAAGAAAAATACGATAGCAAATGGTTACTTTCACAAATTTAACTAACTTAACTTTTTTGTTGGTAATTGGTTGTTTGATTACTCGTTAATGACAATGTCATATATATGGATATCAACATTCAACTTATTTTGATACGCAAGTGATCACCAGCCTAGCTGGTTGTGATGCAGCTTGGGTTGCCATTCATTTAGTGGAAAAAAATCCAGGCATTCCTGATCCATCGGGTTGGTGTGGGTTCGATTCTTGGCTGAGCACATTTGGGGGATTTTCCCTGAATTTGCGTGGGTTCGATTCTTCGTTCCCTTTGGTGGTGAGTGGTGCCTCTCTTGGTGACCCGCCAGACATTCGTGCTCAATCGGGTGGGGTTACCATTTTGCCAATGTATTTTGATACAGTTTTTAAACGAAGTCCGGATGATTTAAAAAACTTTGAACATTAAAGAACTCACCTTCTCTAACCTATTAAAATGTTAGAATGATTGAAAACATGAGCAGCCATTTTTTAGAGATGGGAGAAAACAGAAATCAAAACCATAAACTATATCCATAAATATAAAAAAATAAAAGCCTGAGGACAAATTTATAATTTAATCTCTTTTAAAATTTACTAGTTTTACACATCGACATGTAGGTCCTATTACCACCAAATTCGTATGTCCCTTGTTGCCATTCATTTAGCGGAAAAGAATCCAATGCTTTTAAATCCCTTGTGTATCATGTGTCCACCGTCACTCCCACACCTACTCTCTCCAACTTCTCAACCTCTATCTCTCTCTCTTTTCATTTTCATTTTCTTTTTCTCTTGTGTGTTTCTGTTTTCTTAAATGTATTTTTTATTTTTTACAACCTTTTCTATTTGTAACTGTTTTTCAATATACTTTTATTTATATTAGTTTGTCTAGATGATTACAAACCATTTTGCATTAATGGTATGTACCTTATGCAGCAAATAATGTACATCAAGGGAGTATATGTATTGTGTTGCAAATATTTCCTTCTTCCACACAATGTGTTCTTAATTTATATCCAGCTTCATGGTCCATAAGTAAAAGGTGGATGAACATTAATTTTATATATTTCTAACAAATACTCCTATATCGACAAGTCTCAAAAAGAGAAAATAACAAGTATCATATATTTTAGAGGCATTCAAGATATATTCACTAACATACCTAAGTTTATAAACTTATGGTCTACTTTTGATTTTGATTTTAAAGTTTTTATTCATTAACTTTAACCTTAAATATTTTTATTTTTTATATATAATATTTTATATAAAATATATAAATGAATTGTGTTTTAAATTTCATTGTTATATGTATATTAACTATATATAACACAAATAAAAATATTTAAGATTGAAATTGAAAAATAAATACTTCAAAAGTAAAAAATAAACAATAAATATAAAAAAGAATATATGTTTTATTGGCTTAGGTTGAGTGTGACTCTATTAGATTCATACTATCAAATATCATACCTAGAAACCTCTTATTTAATCTAACTTATCTGATATATTTCTATACAAATCGGATTTAGAGTTTCGTATTAACATAATCATCAACTATAAACAACCATTAAGTTTATAAATTATGGTCAATCGATAGTACAGTCCTAAATGTATATTGGTCGATCGACAGTACGAACCGAAGCGTATTAATCATAAATAAAAATATATTTGCGACGAAAGTGTCATCTATACTTCAAGATGATAACAAAGTGTGTAATTAACACTTATTAATAATAATGAATTAATTAATGAAATGTCGTCATGAATTATGTAAATATTGTCTCTGTATATGTATTCCTTATGAAATTATTTGAAATATATATTGTAAATCGATTTTTCATATTTACATAAAATTTTATAAAACTATTACTTATATATTTTAAATGAAAATATAGTTTTGTAAAGCTATAATAACAAAAAAATCAAAATTGATCATGAGAACCCTATAATAACAAAAAAATCAAAATTGATCATGAGAACCCCACATGTCTATAATGTTCAAGGTAAATATCATATTCCACTTAAGGAGACAACCACTTACAAATTTAGAAATCGTCCAAAAACCGTATCTATGTGTAATCTGATTTATTCGAATTTTTATCTATATTTATAGTTACTTTTATTAGAATACTATATTTTATTATTAAACGAATCAATGATATATATATATATATATATATATATATATATATATATATATATATATATATATATATATATATATATATATATATATATATATATATCACTTGTATAACTTTACTTTTGAAACAAATGTAAATTTCTATATGTAATGTAATGGTTGTTTACTTTACTTAGTATGTGCATTGGATTTGATATTCAACGTGGAGTCCGCCCCGAAAATGTTTCCGCCTTCGGTTTTCGGGGTGTGACACACATAGATCAATGTGCAATAATCCAGTGGTTCTATCACCTTGGTATTGATAATAGAAGGATGACATTTCCGACTTTGCTTTCCCATTTCACATGCAACATAGAGATGTTCTTTATCGGAATTTTGAACTGGCAGCCCTCGAACATGATCACCTAAAACTATTTTGTTGATGTCCTTGAAGTTCAGGTGAGAGAGTCTTGTGTGCCATAACCAGCTTTCATCGCAGTGAGCCTTTGTGAGTAAACAGACTGTTGTTTTACCTCTTATTGGATTGAGGTTCAGTGGATACATTTCTCCTTTTCGTTTAGATTTTAATAGAATGTTGCTTGACTTCTCGACAATTTCTGAGCCTTCATCGTCGAATGATACTACAAACCTCTTGTTCTTACTCAATAAACCTAACTATTCTTATTATAGAAAGTTTTTTTACTTTAAATCATTGTGTGTATTCAATAAACGTCTAATAATTGAGATAGTTCACTAGCGATTTATATGTCGAAGTTAGGATGTAATGGAATATAGCATTATAAAGCATACAATCTAAACCTAAATCTCAGTGTGTGATTTATATAGAGTCTATGTATCTAAATGTTAACTCTACAGAGTGTTCTAATTACTCACCATTTAATTTGATCTAAATATTCTTAATGAAAATTAGCAAAGATGTTATGTTATTCTAACAACTAATTGTTCATCATTTAATTACATTTCGATCCATGTCTAATACTATAGATTTTGCTAACACGAATCTCTTATTATTATTGTAGTATAGTGTTTAGCCAAAAAAAAATTTGTATTCTAGTGAATTTTATGTTGATTGATAAAGAAATTTGTTGTTATATATTTATAGAACTGTGACCAGAGTATATATCATAAACTAATATGAATTCTAATGGAATTCGTTGTTATTGATGCAGCTAAAAAAGTTCAAACAAATGCAACTGTAAGAAAAAACAGGGAAAGAAATTTATATCGATATAGGTATAAATTGTGATTACTTTTAGATTAAATATTATAATTGCTTTTATTAACCTCTAAATGCTTTTAATAAATATTCTAATTGTTTTTATTTGATAATTTTCTTCATACAGATTCAGCGAGTCAAGATAGGGTTAAAAAAAAAGGTATGAACACAATTTCTTTCAAATAATTCATAAAAAAACAAATGTTTAGATTTATTTTTCTAATTGATTTTAATTGTTAAATTTCATGACAAAATATTTGCAAATTGTAAATCAAAAGAAAAAGAAGACAGATCTTATGTTGATTGATAAATAGAAATTTGTTGTTTTGTATGTATAAAACTGTGACCAGATTATATATCATAAACTAATATATTCTAATTGATTTATTTTCTAAGTTAGTTATTATGAATATTCTAATTTTGTTTTATCATATATTCTAATAGATTTTAATTGTTAAATTTCATGACAAAAGATTTGCAAATTCTAATAGAATTTATTGTTATTGATGCAGCTAAAAAAGTGCAAACAAATGCAACTGTAAGAAAAACAGGGAAAGAAATTTATATCGATATAGGTATAAATTGTGATTACTTTTAGATTAAATATTATAATTGCTTTTATTAACCTCTAAATGCTTTTAATATATATTGTACTTGTTTTTATTTGATAATTCTCTTCATACAGATTCAGTGAGACAAGATAGGGTTAAAAAAGGTATGAACACACTTTCTTTCAAATAATTCATAAAAAAAAAAAAACAAATGTTTGGATTTATTTTTCTAAGTTAGTTATTCTGAATATTCTAATTTTGTTTTATCATATATTCTAATTGATTGTAATTGTTAAATTTCATGATAAAAGATTTGCAAATTCTAAATCAAAAGAAAAAGAAGGCAGATGAAGGAAAATCAAAGAAAAAAATTAAAAAAGAAAAAACGTTGTTACTTCTGAAAGCGACTCTGATTCTTCTTCTGATTCATCCTCACAGCATAGAAAAATAATTATAAAAGGTATCAACAATCATTCTTTAAAACACATAACAAAATAACTTTTTTGGATTTATTTTTTTCGGTTGATTATTATGAACATTTAAGTTGATTAAAATAAATATTCTAATTTATTTCAATTTTTTAAATTTCTTCATACAGCTAAAAATACAAAAAAAGAAAAGAAAAGACTTGAAAAGAAAAAAAGACACTATGTTTCAGATTCTTCATCTTCACAGTTAGAAACATCAGAGTCAGAGTCAGAGACATCCACAACATAGAGTGATGAATATGGTAAAATATGTTGTCTTTTATAATATATATGTTGACATCCAATAAAAGTATATTATATTTTTCTAATAGAATAATTATTGATGCAGATAAAGTAAATAAAAAGAAAAAAAGAAAAGTCAAAAAACATTTCAAGCACCACAACAAATTAATCCATAATGATGTGAAGCACAAAAAGAAAAAACATGTTTCTGATTCTTCAACAGAATCAGAGACAGAATCATATACACAGTTAATGGGTAAAATAATCTAAACTTTTTTCCCCCTGAAATATGATTTTATACTTTACAATTCCAATATTATGGAACAATGTAAATATTAGAGTGTTTCGAAGAATAGTTTTCATAGACTATGTTTGACATGAATTGCTTATGGATCATAACTGAAATTCTTGGTATTTTGATGTGAAAGTATTTTTCTATTGTTTATTGATGTGAAAGTATGTTTCTATGATATGAAATATTTATGGTTCATATTACCCATTCTATATATTATTATATCATAAATCATGTTATACTTGATTTTTTGTTGTTTTACTTAGCTTATATGGGATTTTGCAACATTTGAGTTTAATTTTTTATAAATAATATAATTTGAATAAGTATCTACATTTTACTTAGATGATATAGTATTTTTGGATTAAATTTCATAGAATATTCCAATATAATAAGTGTATATGTATAATATTCTGTTTGGAATATTACTTTGTAATTAAATGATATATGATTTCTGGATTTTTGTGGGGTTACTAACATCAATGACTGATGTAATGAATTAGATGATGAATCTGATGAAGAAATCTATGTAAAAAAGAGAACCAGTGATAGAAAATATGTTGAAGGAGTGACTAAGATTAAAGAAGCAAAAAGGAAGAGGAATAGTGGGGACAATCGTGCAGACATAAAGAAACAAAAAACCGTGAAAGAGAAAAAGATTGTGAAAGATATATTGAAGGAGTTGCCTTCAATAAACACTAGATCGACACCTGGATTGATGACAGATGTTGTAATTTCTTTGACATCAGAACAAAAAGATTGGGTGAAACGGATGGGATTTAAAGCATTTTTGAAGATCAACATTAAGAGTATTCACTTAAAACTTTACCATTTTGTGCTTAAGCATTATGATGAACGAAAAAACAGTATTCTGAGTAAAGGAAAAAGAACAAAGATCACAAACGAAAAAATTCATAAAGTGTTTGGTTTACCCAAAACTGGAAAAAGCTTATTTGACTTGGACAAGGTTAGTGAAGATCATCAAGTGTTTGATGGATGGATGAAGGAACTTGAAGACGGAAAGGCAAATGCAATAAACTACAAGAAGATTATTCAAAAATCCGAACAAGTGGATATGAATTTCAAGTTCGGTTTCATAGCTTTATTTGTTAATACGTTTGCAGAATCCATTCCTATGGGGACAAACAACTTAGTTCCAGTTAGAGCACTTGTTGAAGTAGATGACATTTCTAAAATCGATTGGTGTGTATTTGTTGTGTTGTGTGAAAAATTGAAAAGGGAGATGGCATCCAGACAACCCCAAGTTTTATTATAGAGGCCCGATGTTTTTACTATTGGTATGTTTTTTCATATACTTATTTTTTTCTTAAAAATGGATATCTAATATGATGTTGAAATAATGCAGCTAATTTACTGTGATGAAATTGAATGCAAGCTCCAAAAAATAGAACATAAAACACCATTAGTTACGATGTGGACAACAGATAAGTTGAAGGAAAGACAATCTTTTGAGATTGAAGCTGGTGGATTTGGGGTTGGGAATCTAATTGAACAAAGTTCAAATTTAGAGCGTGAGAAGAATGAAAATCAGGTGAATGAGAATCAGGACACACGTATTGAGGTATATTCTATGTAGAATATATTATTAAATTATGTTTTAGAATATATTTTAATTATATCCTAACTTAATATAAGAAAAATATTCTAATGTCTTTTTTCCCAAGAGTATGAAGAAAAGTATGAAAAAATTTTCAACATTGTCTCAACTGAAAAGAATGATATGGAAGATATTATTTTTCATTGTCTATCGAAGTTCCCTAAAGACAATAGAATGAAGGAGATGATAAGAAAGTTTAGAGAGATATTTTCAACTACACTTTTTTCTAGTCGAGAGAAATCAGAAACTGTTAAGGAGAGAACTTAAGTCAAAGCAGATAGAGATGAAGAGCTTAATAAAACAAACATTTCAGAGTCTGATGATGATAAAGATGAAAGAATGAATACAAAGTTGGTTGCGTTTTCAGCTGTTAAACCATTACAACAAAAGTTTCCAGAGAATAAAGAAACACAAGAAGAAGATCAAGATATGAATGTTGATGACCGAATCAATTTGGGTTTTGAGAATAATATTGGCGAGGAAACGATTAGACATCCGCATAATCCAGAAATACAAATAGAATTTGAAGGCATAAATGTTGATGACAAAATAAATTTGGCTTTAGAGGTGAATAATATAGACGAGACTATTGGAAAGAAGAATTTAGAAGACAATGTTGAGAGAAAAAATCTTGTTGAGGGTGGTGAAATGATTGGTGGGGAGAATATTAGGGAAGGGAATATTGTAGAGAAGGTGGTTGGAGACAACTTAGGTGAAAGCTTAATTGTTACACCAAAATGATGGGTTTTAGCCATAAGAACTTTCCTATGTGCGCATGCAAAACCCTAGTGCTCGGATCTAGGCTTTCTAATTAAACATGCTTTGAATCCAAGACTTCTAATGGCTAATTAGATTAAATAACAACATTGAAATAGATCTAGAATCATACCTTTGAATTCCTTGTTGATCTTGTTGTCTTAGAGCTTCTAGAGTCACAAATGTCACTCCTCTAATGGCTTACAAACACTAATAGAAAGAAAGATGATTTAGGAGAGAGGAGAGGGGAGGAATTCGGCCAGAGTATCTATACTTTAGATGGTGTGATGTGTCGAATTCCCTCACCCACAGGGTCTATTTATACTTGTAGACTCCTTAAGGATTACAACTTTAACCCTAATTGGTTAACTTAGACTTTAAGTTAATCCATATCCTTTCCTTGATAACCCTATGGACGATTTTGGCTTATCCAAGCCCTAGAAATCGTCCATCCTATCTTGGATAAGGATTTATAGTCTAAAGTGTAACTATCAAACAATTGACAGTTTATACCCTCTTATTTAATTAATCTCTTTAAGTCACCAAATTAATTCCAATTAATCTATGACTTAAATTAATCAAATAACCATATATTATTCCTTATAATATTTACTCTCTCTTAACAAATCATCCATCAAGTTGCTATGGTGAAGGCAACCCAAAAGGACCATGCACAACCGGATCAAATACTTGCCTAATATAGTTGCAGCCTTAGACACTATTCCAACAGTCTCCCACTTGGATAAGTCTAGTAACTATACAAGTACAATTCGGTTTGCAATCGTAGCTCTCAAAGATGCTATCAAACTCTGATCTAATCAATCTTGTCCTTTAGATAAGGGATCGTACAGTCCTCTGTTAGATATCACGCTGACAATCCTATGGAATGGTTAGTCTAGCATTTGATTTCTCGATCTCCGATTTATTTGACATAGAACTTAATCAAACACATCAATTTAGTTCTGACCGGGCCCGGCACATAAGTCAAATCAAATCATCGAGTGGCCAAGATATCTCTTCTACCCTCTTAGGATAAAATTTACAGATAAACTTCGACTTATATGTATTTACTTATTCATTAACCAACTATACACAACAATGCGTTTTATAACACCAAGTTACTGATGCGTTTTCGCATTATCAATGTACAATCAATTAACAAATAATAAACCATATATCTAGGTTTTAAGACTATATGATATTATCGTCTTGCGATCACCTTTTATATCGTATTCCATAAAGTGATTCCAGCAAGCGCGGGTTTGTTCCAATGCTCAAAACCAGTTCATAAGCACTCATGAACGTTGCAGCAACCCTTTGCTATGTCTAACACCATTTAGAAAATCTACACACCAATTCATGACAATCTTCATTCATATCTACTTCCAACATATGAACAATTTGTACAATTTGAATAACTCGATTATTCCTAATAAATTCAATTATTCTGGAAGTCAAAACATGCAAAGTGAAACAATAGTTAAACAATTAACATATGACAGTAACTTTACTTATAAATAAAACTCCTTTATTTAATCATCAAATGTTAATTACATTTATCTATTATACGTTTCTAATACTATCTAATCTATACTAATATCATCCTTCAGCCCAATACTCCTAGCATGCTGCAAGTGCTTAACCCTACTCAGTCCCTTCGTAAGCGGATCTGCTGGGTTATCTTCTGATGATATCCTCTTAACTATGAGTTTTCCTTCTTCTACACGATGTCTAATGAAGTGATATTTTCTGTCGATATGTCTTGATCTACCATGATCCCTCGGTTCCTTGGTCAAGGCAACCGCACCTTCGTTATCACAGAAAATCTCCATGGGCTCCTTTATGGCAGGCACAACTCCAAGATCACTGATGAAGTTCTTTAGCCATATTGCCTCCTTTGACGCTTCGCTCGCTGCGATGTACTCTGATTCGCACGTTGAATCAGCTACGGTTTCTGCTTGGAACT